TGTTATTAACAAAAGGATGGTCATTTAGCCATCTCTCTTAGACCGAAGACAAGGGCAATGAGTTTATATGTTTTTTAGAAGAGGAGTGGCAATCAACTCTGATTGGTCAACACAATAGAAAATGAGCTGCATTAAAATTAGGGGCTGAGAGTGACATCCACCCACCCCCAGCTTCGGGCTGTGTATGCCCCACCCAAGCCTGAGCTAGAGAAGATGGGTGGGTTTAATCTCATTATCAGCAACATCCTTCAAGAGGCTGAACTTTTAAAATCAGGACTTTAGAAAAGTTGGAAACTCTGGATCTTCCTGAATCATTGATTATTAATAATCATTTCTCTCAGAGTCAGAGAGAGAGGTAGAGAGTCAGAGGAAACAACAAAGACAAAGGATATCGATTTGGAGGTGAGATACAGAGACAGAGAGAGACCTGATAGCTGACAGCTAGATTTATATAACACTGTAAGGTTTGCAAAGCATTTTACATATGTTATCTCATTTGTACTTCACAACCACCCTATTTTACTGATGAAGAAACTGAGGCTGAGGCAGGTTATGTGATGATTTGCCCAGGGTCAAGCTGCTTAGGAAGTGACTGAAGTCACATTTGAATTAAGTTCTTTCTGACTTGAGATGAAGAAAGGGAAAGAGGAATAAGAGAAAGAAAGAGCACTAATGAGCTTGAGTTTTCAGGTAGCATATTTTGTTTTGTTTTGTATATTTACTAATCTACAATGGGTTCAGAGTCCTTTGCCAAGCACAAGAGAGGCCAAACTTAGATAAGACACAGTCCTTGCTCTCACAGAACTGAGTCTCCTAATAAGAAAAGTCCACTAGCCTGAAAAGACATCAAAGACAAGAATATCCTGTAAAATGCTATTCCACGTTTTTTTACACGAACCAGGGTAATTGAATTATGGGTGACTGTATCACTGTAATTTACCTTCACAGGGGGTTAGTCTAAGGAGGGAACCTGTGAGCAAGAAGTGGCTAAGTAACAAAAGAAGCAAGCAGCTGGTGAGTTTTAGAATCCATAGCTGGGAGGTATGAAGGAACCAAATGATAACAAGGCCAAATCTGTACCAGACATTGAAGTCATGCTTAACCTTTGGGGGCACACAAATGTAAAGGCAAGTGAAAGACAGCATGGAACAACTGCTATTGTAAGCACTTATTACCCAGTAGAAATGACCTTCAGTAAGAATGCAGGATCATTGTGTTGTATTCAATTAGAAGTTGAAAGCAAGGCATGATTGCTGCTGTTTTATGTTTGCATGCAAGCAGAAGCATATGGTGATTATGTTGATAGCATGGTTTTAGAGTTTCAGAGACAAGTGCAAACCCTACTCATGGCTCACTCTCACTCACTCCCACTCTGCAGGCAAGAAGGAGTAATAGTAAGCTGGAAGAATAAAGCATCGTTAGTTATGCATCCTAGGGGATACTTTTAGAAATGAGCAGCAGGAGCTACTGGAGAAGGCAGGTTCCCATCAGCTACACGAAGCCCAATAATAGACAAAGAGTTGCATGACTGAACAGAACTGAGTGCCATGTACTTAAAAAGACCTGGTAAAAGCTTAGGGAAGAGGAAAAGAGGGAAGGGCAGAGGACGTACATTCCCCAAAGATGAAAAAGTAGAGAAAGGCTATGACCGTGAATGCTGAAGCCATTCTAGAATCTCTCCCTTTTCCCCTTCACATTTTGGCTGTAACAGAAAGTTACCCAAGACAAGCATGATAGAAGCCTTCTGCTTGAAGACTGCCCTGAAAGTCGCTCTTGACAGTTTCTGCCAGGTAAGAGGGGTGGGGAGTGGGGTGTTGTGAGATTCTCTACTTTTTCCTCTTTCTTCTCATTTTATGAAGCTGTCTTTTCTTCCCTCCCTCAAGCCTATTTTGCCTTCTCTTCAATAAAATCAGACTTGTCATAGGGGGACAAATGAAGTACCATAAAATAACTATTGGCTTGGAAACAGTTCAAATGATAGAGTGCTGAAACCCTAGGAAAATCATTTAACCTGTATTTGCCTCAGTCTCCTCAACTGTAAAATGGGGATATAGTAACAGTACCTACCTAGCAGGGTTGTCGTGAGGATCAAATAAGATATTTGTAAAGCACTTGCATGGTTCCTGATGTATAGTGGGTGCTAAATAAATGCTTATTCCATTCCAATGAAACGTTATCTCTGACCTTCTACTTGAATCAATGGAGATCCTACATATCACAGACACGTTCATTAGTAATATAGAGCAATAGCCTATGGATAACATGACTTCTGGCTAATAGTTTGACGGGTTATTTGGGGTCCGCCTTATCACAGCGGATGATAGCCCACCAAAAGAAACAAAAATAAAAGACCAAAGTTTAGACAGGAAAGGACAGAGTACGATGTGCCAAGGACCGTGTATATTCTGTATAGAGCCCAGCACAAAAATTTTGCCAAAACAATGCTGCAGTTTTAGGAAGACAACTAGGAAATTAATCATTTCTAAGCAATCACAACTCTTAGTCATCAGACCTATGTAGTACGGCTTTAACAAGACTCTTTGTTTCTACAAATGACAGGTAACAAGTTAGTCTAAGAAAGAAGGTTGACATTTCAGAATGCCAAACATAACCATGAAGTTTTGTGATAGGGTTCGGAATTAGGAGAAAAGAGGAAGTGGAACTTTTCCCCCCAGTTTTAACTGTCTCCAATGTTTCATCCCCACCTCCAACTGCAACTACCCCTAAAATTACCAGTCTTCCCCTAAAGCAGAGATTCTTAACCTAGAGTCCATGGATAAATTTTAGAGGATCTGTGAACCTGAACTCAGAAACAAAAAATTACATCTTTATTTTCACTAATCTCTAACTAAAATTTAGCATTTCCATTCCTTATGAATGTAGGCAACAAACATTATTCTGAGAATAGGTTTCACCAGACTGCCAATCTCACACACACACACACACACACACACACACACACACACACACACACACATGTCAAGAACCCTAAGGACAAGGAAATGAAAGGGAGAAAGGTGAAGGTCTCCCAAAATAAAGGGGACAAAACAGGGAGGGAAATAGTTAATGGGGCAGGATGGAATAGCTATACGAATTACATATAGGGAAGGAGGGGGCTAGAATACTGGAAGACAAACAAGAATAAGGAGAAGACAATTATTAGTGAACTGAACAAAGAGAGAGGTATAAACTCCAGAGCAGTATAGGCCTGGAGCCACTTGGGCTTACAAGTGACAGCAGGGGGCAGCAAAGAGCTAGTGAAATCTAATCAGTTCCAGTTTTTGTGGAGGAAATGCCTGGATTGGGCCAGTAGCCAATCAGGGTTTGAGAATAAGAAGATTTGAATATCTGCAGATGCTGGGATCTCTTAACAGCTTCCCACAATCCTTGAATTTTCACCACTCCTAACAGATAAAAATGGAATCTGGCAAAGTTATACAACAGGAAGGATCAAGGGATCTAAAATTGGAAGGGTCCTTAAATATTACCTAATAAAAATATTTTATAGTTGAGGAAACCGAAGTTTATATAGATCAAACAACTTGTGAAAATTCACACAGGCATTAAAATAATACAGCTGGAATCTGAATTCAGCTCTTAAAATCTAATGTTCATTCCTCCTTCACACATCCTCTGCCCTCCCTCTACATCCCCAATCCCCAAACATCTCAAGCACTGAATGTACACTATTGCATTTTTTTTCAGTATGCTTATAAAAAAAGTGAAGAGACAGGATAATTCAAGGTGAAGTTTTGCCCTAATGAGAAAGCAGGGGCACAAAAGCATCAATACCTTTTTCCTGCAGTCAGAAATATCTTCTTTCTTTGAAACTAAGCCTGTTTCTGGTTTTTCTTATTTCTTTAACGCCATTAGTTGCCTCTCCTGTTTTTCCCCTTCCCACTTATCATGGGAGATGCCAGGTCATGAGCAAGAGGCAGTTCAATGTTAGACCAAAAAAAAGCAGTTAGTACACTACCTGGCACATAGCAGGTGTTTCATCTTTTAAAAAAAGTTTATTGTTTGATATTCAAGAAGTAGAGGCAAGGTTGCAGTGGATCAAGCAGGTATCAGAGATGTAGGAAGCAATAGGTCAGGACAGGGTAGGCAAACCAGAGTTTGGACATTATTAAGGAGGGAGGATCAGGGATCAGAAGTCAGGTAACCAAACAAAAATCGGAAGGTCACAAATGCTAGAAAGTAGAACACGTGAGGAAACTGAGATGCAGACTAATTTAAGAGACTTGCTCAAGGTCTCTAGGTGGCAGAAGAGCAGGACTAGAAGCCAGGCCTTCTGACTCCTAATACACTGTTCCTTCCAACACCCCATAACACCTCTTCTATACCTTAAGAGTTCCATAGATAAAACTGACCTGATAGGGTTCATCTGACAATTGAATAAGTAACCACTCCACACACACACACACACACACACACACACACACACACACCCCGTAGATGGCCCCAAAGGTGGAGCTGCCTTCTTGCAGTCTAAGGAAAGAGTATTATAGAGAAGCTCCACAGTATTTAGGTTCCTCTACATAAAACTGAAAGGAGCACTCTGCTCTACAGATTGTAATGATCTGTGCCCAATTCATTTAACATTCCCCTTTTTAGGATACCCTTACCATGATAACAATTTTCACGGGGACATATTTGCTGAAATCAGAAATATGATACTGAAACTGCCTCCCCCACCAAAACTGCCATTTTTCCAAGTCACTTGGCATTCACTGGAGCTCAAATTGCTCACAGATTTATGTTTAGCCCCTTACTACACACAATGTTTACCAGGCACTCAACTTTCTCCCACAAACCTAGTCATTCACATACACAAAAATAGTAGCTTTTCATCATACCAATGAAGTTTTTGTACAACAGCTTCACTTGGTTAAACGTTTAGGGAATGTAATTAAGTCGTTCATGCAGGTATTTCTCTGCCTAGAGAGTGATCCTGGTACACCAAAGTCTGTATAGTTATGGGGTCCCCAGAAAGCCTGCTCCCCACTACCTGTTCTACTTCATGTCATCCCCAATTCCCAAGTCCTACCATTGCACATTCTCTCCCATTAGTTTGATCTCTCCACTTCTCTATGCCCCCACATCCACTCTTCATTCTGGCTCTATTCCTTGTCAGCCAAGTATAGACATATTCCTGTGTAAATAAAAAAATTCTATATTATATTTAAATCTTTTCTATTTTTCTATAGTAAAAACAGTTGTTGTTCAGTCATGTCTGAGTATTTGTGACCCCATTTGGGGTTTTCTTGGCAAAGATACTGGAGTGGTTTGTCATTTCCTTCTATAGCACATTTTATAGATGAGGAAAATGAGGCAAACAGGATTAAGTGACCTGCCCAAAGTCACATAGCTATTACGTGTCTGAGGCTGAATCTGAACTCTGGTCTTCTTGATTCTAAGCCCAGACTCTATCTACTATACCACCTAGCTGGTCCACATAAAGCATATGATCCCTTGAAGACCAAGAGGTCTCTGGTAAAGGACTGTGCAGTGGTGTGCTAGAACTGGTTCCTGCCAGCAGCCAATTGTTAAATTTTGAGAGTAAACATTTATACCTCAGAAATCTACTAATGATAACTTAGAACTTGATTGTTTTGTTGATTGTCTAGACTTAAGAAAGTGATGAAGAAAATGCTGACAATGCAGATTAAATTCAAAAGTGTGTTCTGTGTGTATTTGTTTTTTTCCCAAAGAGCAGGTTATTAAACATTTACCAACACACTCCTGTTTTTGTATATATTCACAGTCCACGATTGGATGCTAAATCCAAAGAAAAAAAAGGCTCACCAAGTTCTACCAATGACCTCACTGGCACATCAGCATTACATGGAATTGGAGACAAAAGTGGACATGATGAAAGACCAAAGCTTTGGGGAATCACATTGAGACATACATGCACATGATCCAACTCCTGGCCATTTCCTTCATTGTGGCTTCCAAATAATCTCTGTACAGATGTCATTTTTTTCCCATTTGCTTTCGTCCTTAGATCTCAGCTTCCATAGATACCTCGATATGAACCTAGTCATTTTCTTTATATTTGATCTCCCATTTTGAACCCTATCTCCTAGAGCCTATGAGTGGGGAGGAAAGGAAACAAGTCTAATGGGGGAAAATTCCAGAGACCCTGGAAGAACTTGGAAAGGAAAGCATTTATATGTAGATTCAGGTGATTGATCAGTAAACACCTACCCACCAAATGTTGTTCAAAGACCAGTGACATCTAGGCATGACATCTTGTCTTGCTCATGAATTGGATTTAAGTGAGGCAGAGCTGCACAGTCATCAGCCTCACTCTCTCTTCCGGAGCTATCGAAGTCCAGTGGCAACACAAAAGTCAGGGTGACTGCTGATGGCTTGGGATGACCTTGGCTTTTCTGATGTGTGACCAAGCTCTAAGTACTCCACAGCACCTGGGATGTGGCCATTGGAACAAATTGTTCTCATCCACGCATTCTGCCAGGGTAAGTCTCACATGCTTGGGATAGATATCCCTCTAACTCACTCAGGGGGTTGAGGCCTGTCAATTACCTCCAACCTGATTTAGCTCTTCTGCAGAGACAGTTTCACAGGTGTGTGACCAACAGCATATACTATAGCTTCTTGGAGCCACAGCTGGAGAGTTGAATAGTAAGTGGATGCTAAAGGTGAATGAGCAGCCCTCACACCAAATGCCTGAAAAGAAGAGGAAAACTTCCTTGATGATTAGAAAAATAACATCAAGAGCAAGTCATATTGCCTTTTAATTTATTTTATGGAGATTCTTCAACTCTGACATTAAGGCAAACTTATCTGTGAACTGAAAATAAACATCTTAGCTCATGTCAAAATTGGAGTCTGATAAAGCTGTCAGAAAATTTCAAGTTACTAACCAGTTTATAACCTATTGACTTGGTCAGTCCACTCTACAATTTATTGAAAATTTAAACCAGGCCAATTCAAATAAGCACTTTTGTATAAACTTTGTGGAAAAATAAAACATTAGCTACAGGATACATCAGTATCCTGTGACAGTTGTAAGTGCATTGTTTAATAATAAATTATTCACCAACTTAAAACTTCTGTGTCTCAGGACTGTGATGTTTATGCCCATGTTATCATTCTTTACTGTTTAAAAAAAAATTCTTTACCAACTTAAACCTCTCAGTTTACCATTACTGATGAAATGTTATCATAGGGTTCATAAACTTGTCATTACACTGTAGGAAGAGCAGTAATTTGGGGGAACCTGCATAATATAAACATTTCAATATCCAAATACCACTTCTCTAAGGTTTTGGTTATCTGAAACATATACCAAAATAAATTTTAAGGCTGAATGTGAAAACAAAACTCAAATTAAATTTTGAAGACATTTATAAACTGATAAAGAATGAAATTAGCAAAATCAGATATGTATCTATGTACATTGTATATAAGCATATATGGCTATATTTATGTTTATATATGTTTATATAATATATACCTTTTTATACTTATATAGTTGTTACATATGTATATATAGATATATATACATATATACGTATATATAGATATATATATATATACACATACATACATATATATGTGTAGAGAGAGAGAGAGAGAGTCTTGTCTTCGTACCCTCAGCACCCAAACTTATAGATGGTAGGCACATAATAATATCTATTATTATTAAGCACATTAAGGTTTGAAAAGCACTATCTATATTTATATGTTTATATATTTATAATTGTTATATATTTATAGTTTATATATATATATTATATATAAAATCTCATTTTCTCCTCACAACAAATCTTTGAGATGGACGCTGTTATTTGCCACATTTTACTGAAGAGGAAATTGAGGCTGAGAGAAGTTAAGTGGATTATTCCAGGGTCACCCAACTAGTAAGTGTCTGAAGTAAGATTTGAACTCAGGTCTCCCTGACTCCAAATCCAGCATTCTATTCATTGTACCATCTCGTTTCTCCTTTTAAATAAATATTTAATAAATGTTTGTTGAATTGAGTTTAACTGAAGAGTGCAAACAATGAAGCTAACTATTCTGCAATACCCAGTCCAAAATAAAAGTTTAATTGCATATACACACACACACACATACACACACACACACACACACACACACACACACACACACACACACACACACCCCTTTCCTAAGTACTACATTTTTGGTCAGAATTATTCAAATATTTAGGCAATATTCACCAGGTCTTCCATCCATAGGTTATGAGAGCAGGTGGGCTGAACCCAATCTGGAACCAAGCCAATCTCAACTGTTTGGTGCAGGGCAATTATTGGCCCTCAATAAACCCTGGAAATAGTAACAGTATAATTAGATACTGTAAGCAGGCAACTTGCCAATAACCACTTCACTTTACACATTTCCCTGGGTGTGATGACATCCATATCCAGCAGGCTGGGACACCTCCAGGATGGGAGGGCTTATCTCACAGAGTTGTCAAATAAACACTTCTTATATGTTCTGTACCAAATCCAGCTTTTTAATTATAGACAATTAAGATGTCTACTACCACAGTAGGACAAGTTAAACTGCTAATCTGTGTATGCAATTTGGATGGCAATCCCCCTGGATAGACTCAGAGGGAAGGGATAGATCATGCACAGACTGAATAAGTGATGATGTAGAACATTTCAGGGCCACGCTCGTGAGCTCCAATGATAGCACACTCCATGGCTGTGATAGTACAGGAAGGAGAACTCACATTATGCAGCATTGGGTTGCAAGCAAATCACGCTGAGACACACCAATTCTCTCAAGTTCTCTGGCTTTAGGATAGAGAGGAGAATTTAACCTGCAAAAACCATAGTACATTGGTATAGTTGGATGGGTAGCTGTCTTTGAAACTAGGCACATACTTGGCTGTGCGGCCCCAGGCAAGTCACATCAATTCTCCAAGACCACAAGTTGCAGATAAGGCACCAAGCTGCAGTGGTAGTGTTTCCTCACCTGTATTTCCTTATACCAATAAAATCACAGATCCAGTCCCTATACCATATGTGTGTGTATGTGTGTGTGTTGCATTCTACTTGTCTGCTAATGTTTTTGCCATTCTGTCAGAGATTGCTTGGATATGAAGTCCAAAGCCCTGATGATGAGTCCCATAGCTCTGTACCCTCTGATTCAGTTTCTTCATCTACAAAACAATATGCTTCTCATAAAGGTTATTGTGAAGACTAACTGATTTACTGTATTTCTAACACTTTGCAAACTATCAAGCATCATACAGATATGAAGTCTATAATAAAAGAAACCATGGTGAACTAAAGGTGAAGACATGATGGGGGAAAAGCATAGAATAAAAAACCCAGCAATCTAGAAAACCAGAACCCTGTGCTGCTAAGGGTGTGACCTAGTCAATGTGCTACTCAGATAACATCTGGAACATTCTATTCAATTTGAGGAGTCACATATTAATCAGGAATATTGATAGATTTAGATTTTAGTCAATTAATAAACATTTATTAAGCACCTACTACATGGCAGGCACTTTACTATGCACTGGAAATACAAAGAAAAAGCAAAAACAGCCCCTAGCCACAAAGACCTTCTATTCAATTTGAGGAGACAACATAGACATAAATCAGTACATACCAGGTTAATTCAGAGTTGAGTAGATTAAAGTAGACTTAGAGAGAAAGACATTAGAAGCTGGAGAACAAAGAAAAGACAAGGTCTTCAGTCTGAGTAATACATTCTCTCTTTTCTGAGAGATTGATAGTAAAGCCCATTGATTCAAGAAAAAAAAAAGTCCAGAGTGACCATTTGCCCAGAGAGGTTGTGAGCAGAGTGATTTGCCTGGAGTCACACAGATAGTCACTGGCAGAACTGGGACCAGGACCTAGGTCAATATAATCCTCTCCAACTACATCATATTGCTATTTATCGATTGGTATAACTTCTTTTGGCAAATTTTCCATTTTTGATGGGCTTACTAAACCAGGAAAATGCAACATACACAGTGTATCAGGATTTCAGCAAAACATTTAATGAAGTGTTTCATAGCGTCTTTATAAATGAGATAGAGAAATGTGGGATAAAGCTTTCAAACTTATTCTGAATTGGTTGAAATGCTCTATGGAAAGAGTATTAATTGATGAAATCAAAAAGAGAAACCATTTCTTATTCATCTTTGTAGTCCCCCTAAAACCTTGGACAATATTTTGAATATACAGAACACTATACTAAATGGTATTTGAATCAACAAATGAACTTGAAGGGAGATCTCCAGTGATTATTTTCTAAGGTTTTGTCCTTGGTCTTATCTTCTTCAACATTTTTATTATTAATTTAGATAAACATATAGACAATATTCTTGTCAAATTGAAAATGACCCAAAGCTAAGAGGGACAGATCTTACACTGAAAGACAAATTAAGATTTCTATAGTCTAGAATAAGGGATAAAAACCAATAAGAAGAAATGTAACAGAGATAAATGTGAAGTCTTCCTTGTAGATTCAAAAATTGATTGCACAAATTCAGGTTGGAGAGTCATGGTTGATAGGAGTTCACATGGAAAGAACCTAGGGGCTCTTTCATCATGACACAACAGGGTGACATGGTTACTTTTAAAAGATAATTGGATCCTAGTCCTAATTTAGGCCCCCTGTCCTGTGTGCTGGTCACATCATATCAGGAACATTCTATTTAATTCTGAAAGCCAAACATTAATCACAAATATTTATAAATTTAGAGTACATTTAGGAGATAGGATAGTGACAAAGCTAGAAATCACATGATTTGATGAATAAATGAACTGTGGACATTTAGCCTATATGTGACATTCCCTGTTGTCTTAACTCCCCTGGGCCTCAGTTTCTTCATCTGTAAAATGAGAAAGTTGGACTAGAAAGCATCTAAGGACCTTTCCAGCTCTAAACCTATCAATCTATAATTGTATAAGAAGACTCAGACACTACAGTCTATCTGTATTAAAAGCCCCAAGAAGTACACAGAGCTGTTGCTAGGGAGGTCACTGCTAAGAGGGACAAGTGCAGGGCTAGCTTTTTAGAAAAACATTGTGGCCATGGTGGGAATGGAAGCTTATCATCTGTTAGCTTCCTCTTCTAACTAATTATTCTTGCTAATTGGGCGCTAAGCTATGTGTAGATTACAAAAGGAATATGAGTCCTATTAGTGTCTCCTAAATTTTGATGCCCTGGGGCAAAGCCCTTAACATACTGCCATAGCTATAGTTCTATTCTAAGGTCCTTTCTAGCTCTAAGATTCTGTAACACTATAATTTAAGGTTTGGCTGGGAATCCTAAACAACAAACTGACATGATTTTATGATGTGAGAAGAAATGGTTAGAAAATGGGTCATAGCTAGCAAACCAAGAGGAAGACCAAGTTTCATTAAAACCCTGATGGAGCTTGTCTCATTTAGAAGATACTTTTAGTTTGTTGATCCAGGGCTGCATCCAGGATCCATATTAACAGGCTGTAATAGACTCTATCAAAATGATTAATGGTTATTTTACAATGTTGAATGAATATATCCAGCATTCATTCAACATTGCATGAATATATCCAGCATGCAGTCATATAAGAAGCTTGTATATTTTGTGCAGTTACTGTGGAAAAACTAGCTTGACAATCATGCAATGCTATATTTGTAAGCTATACAATTAAATACCAGAAGGGAGACAAAAAGAAGCCATCCATAAGATAAAATCATTGGATGATGATAGCTGACATTTGTATATGGGGTGTCCTAGAAGTCTTGCTGTAGTTTCTGAAGAAAGAAAAATTCTACAGAATGTCACAGAACTTCTGGGATACCTTGTATATCAAATTTAAATTTGCATAGTACTTTACATAAATTTGACACTCCAAATAACCCTGTAAGGCTGGTAGTAAAAGTATTATTAGTCTCATTTTAGGGATGAGGAAACTAAAACTCAACAATATTAAGTGCCATGCCATTATTTAATTGTTGGAGACAGCATTCAAATTCAGTTGTTTCCTGCTTTTTGAAGTCTAAAACTCTACATAATTGATAATTCCTGTCACCTTACAGATATAGATTTATAAAAACTATTTCCTCCTAGTAGCAATGCCTAAGATTCAAGTAATATACCACCAAATGGACCATGTTGCCTAGGCTTACTGGAGAGTCCCAATAGTTGTTAGTACCAGGTCAATGGCTGCAGTGGTGCAGAGCTGACCAAGAAGTACCTGAACTAAGGCTTCTGGAGTTTGGCAAATAGCAAGGATGCAGGCAAAAGATCACAAAAAAATAGCAACATTTCTAAAAAGAGATGTAAATGAATTTTAAAATACTTTACCCCATTTAGTTTTTTTATGCATTTAAGTTTTACCTCCCTAACCGGAATGAAACCTCCAGGATAGCCGACACCAACCTTGCACATATCAGGATCCATATTAGGACCCTGCACATAGTTGCTACTAAATAAATATTTGTTTCAGGATTTATCCACATCTATTATTTTTGTCTTTGTATGCATAGCATCTAGCACACTAACCCATACATAGTAAGAGTTCAATAAATTCTCATTGATTGATTGTAATATTTATTGAACTAGAAAAACAATAACAAAATACAATTAGAGGAACAAAAGTTCTAGAATCTCAAGGGAAATAATGAAAAATAAGTATGTATCAAGGGAATATAGCCTTACCAGACCTCAAATCATATTATAAAGCAATAGTCATCAAATATGATTTAGTACTCATTTATAAAAGAAAAGCAGATCAGTGAAAGAGACTTAATAAGCAAAAACAGAAGCAACTGAAAACAGTCATTCGGTGTCTGACAAAATCAGCAAAACAAATTACTAAGGAAAAGGCTCCCTTTTTTTTTCTTACAAGAACTATAGAGAAAACAAGAAAACAATTTGGTGGAAATTAGGTTTAGAACAACATCTTACACCACATTCCAGAATAAAATTAACATGGAGATGTGACCTGAATATGAAATGAGGAATGTTTAAAAAAAAAAACTAGAGAAGAATAGAAGGCAATGACTTGCATAACTTTGGCTAAGAGATAATTTCTTAAACAGAGATATCATAAAGGCCAAAATAGATGATTTTGGTTTCATAAAATTAAAAATATTTTTAATGGCCAAAATCAATAAAAATCAAATAAGAAGAAAAACTGTTGAATGTGTGAAATATTTTCATCAATTATCTCTGATTAATTTCTGACATCCTAAACATATAAGGAATTTATACCAACATATAACACTGTGCCATTTCCTAACAGATAAGTGAGGGGGGAGGGTGAAATATAGAGCT